ATTTAATGCCAATGCATTTTTTTTTTTTGTTGTTTTATTTTTTTTTTATTCTTTTTTTTTAGTTCTATTGATATACAATAACTTCTAGACATTTAATGAATAAAATTTTTAAAACTTTTGCCAAATTTATTTATAAGCCTTAATAATATAAGAAAACACAAGAAAGTCAAATCAAATTACTAATAAAAGAATGTAAGAAAAAATGGTCTGATATAAAAACAAAACAAAAGCAGAACAAGAAGTTATTGATTAAGGAATAATTAAAATATTTATATCGACGATCATTTAACATTGATTTATAACCAACGAAAAAGCAACAGGTTAATATATATATATTTTTAAGTAGTATCAACTAATAAATTATAAATGTTTAAAAATAAAAAATATATATATAAATAAAAATTAATTAATAATAATATAATAACAATAATAATAATAATAATAATAATATAAATATTATAATAATAATGATAATAATAATAATAATAATAATAATGGATAATGATAATGATAATAATTACAAGAGAAAAAAATTTTATTATAAAAATATATGCATATTACAGAATCCTATCAACGACGGCATTTATGACTTTCACTAAAAATTCGTGCTCATGATTCTTACTTGCACATCCATACAGATAATTAACATTTCCAACAAATGATAGGAAATTGAGAGAGAAACTAATTAACATTAACAAAAAAAAAAATACAAAGTTTATTGACGCCACCTCGTACAAATAGGAAACGTCAATTATGTCCAATGTGTTCGTCAACAAGACTCTCTGCCGTACACTTGAAAAGAAGATGCCTTGTATTGAAATTTTCCACACAGGCGGGTGATTGTGTGTATATAAACAGCTCATATCTACGTATCGACAATTTCGATATCGATTTTATGTAAAGAGTTTTTTTTTTTTATATGTAAACTCAATAACTGTTCCTGTACCAAATTATCATAGTATGCATCACAACGCAATGGTCTTACACTGAGCGAGAAATAAACACTTATTTGGGGTGAGTGTCTAATTTGTACTTAATTTATTCGTTTTATTACGTAAGGCACGTACAGCTAGTTACTGGCTTAATATTATATGTACTTAAATGGATGGCCTTTTTCTTTTTCTTTTTTTTACGAATCAGTCGGGGCGTGCCCCATATCCGTGGAGCACGGCGTTGGTCAAAAAAAAGTAAGGGAAGAGAAAGAGGGAGGTAATAACCGCAGTCTAGTGGATTTATGAGTACAATAGGTGTACCAAGCTACAGGAACGATGATAATTTAGATTAAAGAAAGAGAGAGGTGATGGCCGCAGTCAAGTAGGTTTGTGAATATAATTGGATTACCGGGTTACAGGAACGATGATAATTTAGATTAGGGAAAGAGAGAGATGATGGCCGCAATCAAGTGGATTTGTGAATATAATAGATTTACTGGGCTACAGGAACCAAGATAATTCAGATTAGGGAAAGGGAG